AATCTGAGAGAAAATTCCGACTGTCAGAAAAATTTAAACCCCAACAAATGCTTGAAGATAAGGTTTGTTCTGAAGATGGCATCAGAGCTGCTAGAATGTAAGTAATTGATTTAGCCATGTTGCCAATATTGCCAGAATCAGTATTTTCAGATGATCAATGGCACTACTATTTTAATGCTGATAAAACTATGATGTGAATCTCACAATATTTACACAATGAATATTTACACTTGTAGCATCCGTGTTACCTTATTAAATAGCTGTCCACACTTAATTAGTTACAGGGGATGTTGTACAAATGTATGACACCAATGACAGGAAATTGTTTCCAGGTATAACGGGGGTACCCTAACATCGGACGCTTTTTCACGCACTCGATCTCACCACGCTTTATCGCGCTAGTTTAAAAAGAGTGGTCAGGTTTTGATGAATAAAACATTTGTGTGAAGGACATACTTGAATACTGTTCATGAGCTCTTCACTCTCCGCATTAAGGCCCGGTCACACTGGCCGAACTTTGCTGGAGCGTTCCTTGAACGGTAGGGACGGGGGCCGAATTTCGACAACACTCGTCACCGCGCCCAAAATGTGGAGGTAAAAATGAAAACACGGGCGTTGGCTTAGCGGTGCACCGCTGAAGCCGGCATTGCTTTAGCGTTGGTTTAGCGGTAGCGAGCGTTGGTTTAAAGCTAAGGTCCCAATTACGCCGGTGCCCGTCGGGGATGTAGCCCCGGCTGGCCCCGGCCGGGTTCAGGAGTCGAGCGGGCATGGGCTGTCGTGGTCACAATTAAAAGTTTCCTTCAGTAGCATTTTGTTAGAAATTTTGTCACCCTCTTTGGTCGGTATCCGGCAGGCACCCGGCAGGTACCCAGCAGATTCTCTGACGATGTCTTGTATTGACCGATACGTAATGCAGAATTCACGTATTTTTTGTGATCATTTGATCTGTGAGGTCACACATTTTACCCGGGTTTTACGAAGTACACACCTTTATTCTGTTCATCTGGTCTGTGACGTAAGAAATGTCTCCCGGTGGAATGCCGGCAACCGGAGGGGTACCTCTCGGTGTTCTCGCGATGAGGTCACGACGTCTTTTTGTCAGCGGGGCCCGGGTAGAATTTAACTCAGAATTAAATTCTTATCGGGGCCCCGACCGTGTACACTATATGACATCCAGTAGATTTCTAGCGGGGACCAATCATAGGGCTGCTGACGCGTCACCGACTAGCGGCTATTAGCACCTTGTTTCATGTAAATGCCATGAACTCAACCAGAGCGCGTATATTGTTTCTTGTTTACATCAGTACTAAGTACTAGTACTTCCACAATCAGTTAGTAAAGTCATACCTTAGTAAAATCTACTTTGATGAACGAATCAAAACGGGACTGTAGACATTAAGTTTTACACATTCAAATGTGGCTGCACTAGCGCTAATGGAGCGATCACTACGTACGGGAAGGAACGGATCTTAGCGAAGCCGAGATTTGTGAACCAAACCCAACCCATCGAAGACGGGCCGCCAAACATAAAAATGGAGGGAAATGACAGACAACAAGCCAACAAAGACAACATCACCAGACCAACAAACTTGGAAAACACCACTTCAAGCGCTAACGTTGTAAGAACTGTGGAACCTCAAACTAGTATGTTTGCGTCAGCGGAAAGGCTGACGAAGTAACCACTACATGAAAAACTGCGGCGAAAAAGTAACATGGGTTCGTCCCAAATCTAGACGCAAGTGAGCTACAAAAGTAAAGAACCTATGCATCTTGCTTGTTGCTGTCAACTTACCCGTTAAAGATTGAACCGATACATGTACGTACTATAACTTGCCATACCCGACCAAAGACGACTACATTACTGTTACTCTTTATTTTGTGCTGTATAATGTATATGCGTTACATTATCTATCATTGTCATTTCTGTGAATTCCTTAAAACATCTACTGTTAGTTTGTGTAACATTACGTAGTGCTACAATCTGCGTTAAAAGTGGGCTTCATTACGTGTTATCTGCTAAGTCGTGTTGGTATTGAAAACTGTTTTATTGTGCCGTTCTTCTACAAACAGCCAGCAGAATTATGAAGATACTCGTTCTCAATACACATGCTGCAAACTTAAGTAATGGCAGTCCTACGAAAATTCTGTTTGTAATGTATAAGCGCTTTATGTCGACGTACAATAGGTGTGAAATACATGTTTTCGCCCATCGTGTGCCACCGGCTCGGTGGTAATTGGATACTTTACAAGTGAAAGAACCGCGTCCATGGGCCTTGATAAATTATTCAAATTATTCAGCAGCCCTCTGATTGGTCCCCGCTAGAAATTTACTGGATGTCATTCAGTGACGAGCGGCCCCGACGGGCCAAAAAATAGCCCGGTAGCCGCAGGGTGCCCCCGGGGTCCCACCCGAAAGTGATAAAAACAGCCCGGGAACTACCCGCCAGGGTAGTTCCCGGGCTTTCCCAATTGGGACCTTAGCTTTAGCGGTGACGCGAGCGTTGGTATAGCGGCGTTCTGCGCATGCGGTTTAAGGCCCGGTCACACTGGCCGAACTTTGCTGGAGCGTTCCTTTAACGGTAGGGACGGGGGCCGAATTACGACAACGCTCGTCACCGCTCCGACACATATATACCAACGCCAAAGCAAAGTTCATTGCCGACATGGATCGCTGCTTCAACGCCCGACACCGCTCCAGCAACCCCGATTCCGCCCGGCCGTAAACCGCTTGCAACCGCTCCAGCGAAGGTTGTGCAACGTTTAATCGCCGCCCGGGCAACGCTGGCGAGGCAGCGGTGGTCCAGCGTTCAAGATTTCTGCGTTGGCCTAGCGGACCAAAGCGTCCGCGAACTTGCGTTTAGCGATGCCAAACTTTGACTGGGCTTTGGTGGAGCGGGGATGAACTTTGCCGGGGCACAAAATTATCCCCTTTTCACCGCTCGCAATATTTTGTGCAGCTCAAAACTTTCGGAGCGGTAAGAGGGCCCCTCCAGAAGCATCAGCGGTGGCCGGGCGTACACGGCGTTGCTTTAACCCTATCTAGACCGGGGGGGGGCTAAAAGTGTCCGCGGCAACTTTGATGTCACATAGCGTCTAAACGGCTAAAGCTAGAACCGCCAAACTTGGTGACTTTTCCTAAAATATTGTTGGCAACAAATCTGTATCAGTGGAATAAGATTATGATTTTTCTTGTTGCCATGGCAACGGGTTTCTGACAGGCATTTTTTGCCAAATATAATAATTTCCATTTAATCAACAGAATTTTATGGGTTTTATGTCAAGTTACACATTGTTTCTAATATTAATAACATCACATATAATTATATGTAAATTTCATCATTAAAATGCATAATTTATGCTAATTTGATGACGTCATTGGCCGAAATCCAAGATGGCGGACCATATCATTAGATCAGGTAAATACAGCTTATTTTCCTTAAAATTTTATCAATACTCCCATTTCTTTTTACAAAAAGGTTCATATGAACGTCTTTAGTCTGTTTATAATGTATTTTAGGCTTTATCCTGAAAAAAAACTATTTTTCAAAATTCAAGATTGATGATCCAAGATGGCGGATAGGTAATATATGCATGACGTCATTTTATGACGTCACCGGTGTTGCTATGGGTAACATAAGACTTAGTACATCCTAATATTCTGTCATAAACACTTTTGGTAAAGTTATGTCGTATACTGTTTAGTTTTCAGGGAATAACCTATCTAGACGGTTTTGGCCAATAAAATCACATTTATGACGTCATAATGACGTCATATTACGTCACAACAACATAGAAATTGTACATATGATAAATTTTTACTAGTACACCATCCTCTGAAAATTTGGTGGTCCTACGATATACCGTTCGCGAGTTCTGAGGGGGGGGCCGAATGAGCCCCCCCCCGGTCAAATCTTGCTCAAAAAAGCCCGGTCTAGATAGGGTTAAAATAATACAAAAACACTACAGACATACAAGTAAAACAGGAAGAAACCTAAAAGCATAACAAATGGTAGGTCTTCCGAAAAAATGAATTCCTGTAGAAGGCATCGGAATGAATTAAGCGACAGATTGTTGCGTTATTGGAGGACAATAACCTTTTTAGAAAAGAATAACAAATTCTCCTCCTCCTGGTTTCAAAAGTGTCAATATAGTTACAGACAAACATATCACTCGCGCTGCAACGCCGAGGCAGATTCATTATGATTCTAAAACAATTATTATAAGCCACTCTGCACTTATACAAAACACCAGAGCTTACAGAGCTCCATAACTGGGCGCCATATAGCTGGGCGCAATACGTCATAAACAGGTGTCTCTTAACAGATGGAGAGCAACAGAAAAATTTGCGGTTGATACTGTTTGCACGACTATAAAGA